CACAGGCTGGTCCTCAGAGGCCCTGACAGATGGCTCCCCACCTCCCTTGCCAGTCTAGCCCATCACCTGATGGAGGTCTGGCAGAGCCTCCCTGTCTCCCATGATTGACCTGTGTCAAGTCATAATTCACATGTTGCTGGCCTCCTGGTTTGGGACTGCAAATTGATATTAAGCTTGCTTCCTTTCTGACTCAAGGAGATTTAGAGCCTGTCTTCATACCTGATATTGACTCTCTATTTTGATTCTCTATTTTGACTCTCTATTTTGAATTAGAGGATGTTTTGAGCCCTTGAAGGATTTTTACGATCGTTTCGCAATCCTATGGGAGTAACATACATGCATATAATTCAAATAGCTCAGGAGGAAAAAATGTTGGGAAGGATATAACATGAAAAATAAAATGTCTCCACCATCACCTATATATCCAGTCGCACTGTTAACCATTTCAGTTTTTCAGTCTTCTGGTCATTGTCTCACTTAACTCTAAATAATTCTCTTATTCTTCTATTTCTTGATTTATCAAGTTTAAGTAAAAATTATTGAATTGCCCCTATGTGCGATGAGGGATTTAGCTTATTGACAGTAATCCTTCTGCCTTTCTCATGATTTCTTCCAGTTTTTTTTCCTTATATTTCGAATTTGGTTTTGCACTTGATTACCTGTGTAATTTTTAGGGATAGACTTATACTTGTATTGCTTGATCCGTTGACCTTCCATAGAACGTCTTAATTCTCCACGTGTTTAGGATGAGGAAATCGGTGCCTCTGAGCTTCCCCTCACCTTTTCTCTCCAACTCCAGCTTGCAGCAAAATTTTATAACATTGATAACATTTGAAGTCTATTCTGTAATTATAATTAATTTTGCTTTATGTATCAGATTGTTAAAAATCAAAAACTAATATATAACCTTTATGATATAAAGATTTTGTAGCTACTCGTCTCTAAAACCAAGTAATATATTGGGACCCATAAAGAAGGGGATGGACTCTGATGTTACTGACCTTCTGCTGCATGAAAGAGAACGTTCTAAGTGTCAGGGTCAAGTGGACTCTCTTTTTTTCCTGTTCTTATATTCTGTCGGCTGCTCAGATCATTTAGTTGGCTTCCTATGTAAAATGTGACTTTGAAGAACATTTTGTTTCCATGGAATTTCTAATTACCTTTCTTTTTTACCTATTAATAAACCAGTTTTTTTTTTTTTAATTTTAATTTTTTTGGCTGTGTCAGGTCTTAGTTGTAGCATGCGGGATGTTTCTTTGCAGCATGCAGGCTCTTCGTTGCGGCCACGTGGGCTCCTCTCTAGTTGTGGCACTCGGGCTCCAGAGCGCACTGGCTCAGTAGTTGCAGTGCACAGGCTTAGGTTCCCCGAGGCTTAGTTCCCCGACCAGGGGTCAAAACCATGTCCCCTACTTTGGAAGACAGGTTCTTAACCACTGGACCACCAGGGAAGTCCCCATCTATAACAAATTTTGACATGTGCAGTTTCAGGGGTTGTCAGTTTTATTTTGTGTTATTTATTTTTATTAAGTCTCTTTTCCTCAAGGACCCAGTCAAAATACCCCAGGGTCAGAACAGCAGGGCCAGAATGTCCTGTTTCTTCTTTAATAGTCTCATTATTATGGCAGCAGCCCTCCACCGGATTTCTTGCTGCAACTTAGCATAAGGTCCAGTTTTTGCCATGCAGGGTCTTTCCTGGCTCATCCATTTTATAGGATCAACTAGCATTCATATGCTGTTTACTGCAAAAGACTTCATGCTTGTCTTAAATATCTTTTATGAGCTCTAGAGCCAAATTCAGTAGAGTCTCATTATATGCTCACTTCATTTATACAAATTCAATTACATATGTTTGTGAGAGAGCGGTGAGGGAAGAAATAGAAGGGAAGAGGAACGGAGGGGAGAGGAGAGGAGAGGAGAGAGAGTAATTTAAATAGTACGGCCAATTCCATTATCCAGGAGCAGCCATAAAGATCTTGACCCTGAATGAATGCAGGACAGAATGCACTGAATCTACGGTCCCACATTTGGTTTCTGTTGACATATGGCTCACACCTTGTGAGTACTGCATTACCCTTAGTGTGTTTAAAGATACATATGTTGCCCTTATCATGGCCTTTAAACAGAATCCAACTACTTTCTTCAATGAAGAAAGAGGTTCTACTGAATTTGTTGGCCAGTGAGTTGGGATGCCTCTTCAATATGGTACCTCCCTAAGGGATTTGCAAGGGAAGTTTTGACTATGTTTTTTGTTTTTGTTTCTTTCTTATGTGCTTTTTTTCAGAGGCTAACACGTATAAGCTGTGATTTCTCTGTATTCAAGTGCTTCCCGGTTCTCTCCACTTGCAGGTCCCATCAGTGGCTTCAACTCCATGTGTTTTAATCTGAATCTATTCCCCCAAAGCTTTTTCCTTCCCCAGTGCTCTCTATCTGAGCGAGTGGCACTGTTGACTCACTTGCCGAAGCCAGGAGCCTTGGCTCCTTCCTGTCCCTTAACTCCGTGTCTTCCCATGAGTCACTTGTCAAGGCTATTTTTTAAGTGACTCTCAAATCCATGCACTCCATTAGGTCATCCTCAGTGGTTATGACCTGTTGCAACAGTTTCCAAGCTCATTTCTCCTATTCTGGCCTTCCCAACTCCTTCATTCCCCTATCCCAAGCCTATCCATTCTCACCAGTAAGAGGGATATTAAAAAAATGATAGTGTTACTCCTCCGGAATAATAATAATAGTAATAACCCACCCTTCAGTAACACTCCGCTACCCTCCGGGTGAAGTCCATGATCTTTACTAAGGATTACAGGCCCCCACATGCTCTCCAATGCTGACTGACCATTCCACTCTGCACAATCTCCGTTCTGAGCAAACAAAACCTGTTGATGGACACCATGTTCTTTTTCAACCAAGTGTCCTCGTACTTGCTCTTTCCTCCCCCCAGCAACACTCTAATGTCCCTTTTTTTCTTCTCTGAGACTTACATCTCCTTCAGGTCTCAGCTGAGACATTAAAGCTTCGGCAAGCCATCCCTGATTCTGCAAAACTGCTTAGATGCTTATCCTATGAACAGACATAGCACCCTCTATTTCTTTCCTATAGTAGCATTTGTCTTACTCTACTGTAATTTCATGTCTTTTATCTGTCTTCTCCACTACAGCAGGCAGTGTAACTGTAGGGCCTGGAGGAGAGACTGAGGTTTTTTCACCATTACTGCCTAGCACTGTGCCTGGAACAGGCTCTGAGCACGTGGTTGTTGAATGAATAAACCAATCCTATGTTGGGTTCCCCATTGTAATTCCTTGGAGTGGTGTGGGAGTCAATCCTAGATTGGCATTCAGTAAATTAGAAAGGAAGAAGATGCCTGGCATGGGGAGTAAATGCATTCAACTTAAACACTACTGCTTTTTCTCAGAGTCTAGTTCTAAGCCTGAGGCTGTAGAGAAAGTCCTTGTAGAAAGGGCTGTCAGGGATAGGGGCTGGGAGAGCTATTATCCCATGATAGAGTGACCTATTAACTTTGGAAAATCCTTTTTGCTTTCTTGGGGTCTGACTTCTGCCAGGTCTGGGTCTCAGAAGTTAGGGAGCTGGCAAAGGATCATAGATGTTAGTGTAAATGTTCATGCCTGTGTTTATGGCTCTTTTGTTTCCATCCTGTCACATTTCAAGAAATTTGCCGACCAAAGGTGAAGGCTCATGCACTCATAGTTTTGATTTTACAACCCCCAGCTATGGCCCACTTGATTCCCTATTCCTTCCTCTCCTGTTCACACTGTGGCCACTTGTCTACCATCTGCAGGTCCCATTTCAGTAGTTCAGCTGGTTCAGTCTTACTGTCTTCCTTGATGCTTGGGTCTCATTTTTAGAGACTGAGCTTCTTCTGCTCATTGATCCTGAACTCAGCTTCCCACCTATTTCCAGGTCCTCCAGGAATGATGTCCTGCTTTGGTCTCGACTATGCCCAAAATTCTTTTTATATCCACAATAGTGGTCACCTCTTCTGACCTTCTCCACAGCTAATGAGTTCCCAAGCCCCCTCACCTCAGTCTCAACTCTTGTAGACCCCATGATATGGTCCTTGGAGAGTGGAATCTCAGGGCAGACAGTGTAATTTTCTACCTCCCAGAGCTCTCTGAGGATCTGCTGCTTGTCTCTGCCCCAAGGGTGAAGATGGATGACAGGTGCTACCCGGTGATCTTCCCAGATGCGAGGAATTTCCGCCCCTTCACTCCTGACTCTTTGGCTGCAATCAAGAAGCGGATCTCCATCCAAAAGGAGAACAAAAAGTCCAAGGACCAGACAGCAGCAGAACCCCAGCCTCGACCTCAGCTTGACCTAAAGGTGTCCAGAAAGTTGCCCATGCTCTATGGTGACATTCCCCATGAGCTGATAGGGAAGCCCCTGGAAGACTTGGACCCATTCTACAGAAATCATAAGGTACCCTCTGTGGGGAGGCTGGGGTGTTCTAACCATGTTCTAACCACCAGCTGTAATTGGCATTGCATGGATCTCCAAATATTGATCTCGGGGTATAAAGAGGCCAGACCCCACTTCTCCTTTGCTGTCACTCCCTGTCATTGCTTTCACAGTCCTGAGAATGGCTTTCAGTACTAAGTTTCTCTCTGTAATAATGCATGGCTTGGAAAAGAAGATGAATGAGGATGAGGAGCAGCAGAAGGGTAAAAGGAGGACAGAGAAAACATAAGACGGTGTCAGGAAAGAGGACTGGACTAGCAGTCAGAAAAGTTGGGTGTAGGCCATTTCAAGTACTTGGATTTATAACTTTGGGTAAATCACTTCACTCATTCTCACTGTTCTAATCAGTAAAACGGGAATAATGCCTGCTCTCCCTACATTACAATGTAGGCATGCTATGGAGCCTTTAAAAACTGTAAAACATTATAAACTGTAAGGCATTATACTGATATGAAGAATTAATATCACTGTCCATGAATGTCCATTTCAGCAACTAGAGTTCACCCTGAAAAACTCTTAGGCAATAGGCTTTTTAGGCTATTAAATGAGATTTATGGAGGTCAGAGCCCTAGACCAACACTTGGCACATAAGAGGAGCTCAATAAATGAAGTTTAAGAATATTGTAATCAAGTAGGCACATGCAGATTACATGTAAACTCCATGCCAATATGTGATAGGCTTGCTGTTTTATCTACCTAGAGGTAGGGAAATTCTAGTAAAAGTTCCTCAAAGGGGTTCCTGGATGAGGAAACGTGAGCACAGGCTCTTCTCATGGCTGTTTGAAAGCCTGGGGCAGTGAGGAAAGTCCTCTACAGACCATCCCCTTTCAGGAAAGACTCAGAAGACCTTGCCATCATCATCTCACTGTGTGATCCAGCAGAGAATGGAAAACCCACTTTGCCAGACTGAAGACAGGGAGGAAGGAGGCTGGGGAGTTTGGGGCAAGTCCTGGAAAATATGGGATGCTGAGAGCATCCTTTTCTGGCACCCATGAGAAACTGACCTCTCCAAAGAAAGATTGCCTGGTTTGTATGTCCTTGATTTGGACAGACTTGGGGTTACCAGGCTGGATGGGGATTGTGTGATGGAAGAAAGCTGGGTATGAGTGGGAAGGACAAAAAAGGGGAAAAGAGACGAATGAACAAAAACACTCCAATATTTCTCCTTCTCCTAATGCCCCAGAATTCCAGGGGCTTCTAGGAGGCAGAGTAGTTGGAGGTGAGATAACTCCTGGAGGCCTCCTTCTGCCTCTAGGCTAGGTAGGAGATCCAGGAGGTAGGCAGCAGCTTGGTGTTTTGCGGACAGTCCTGGGAGGACAGGCTCTGATACAGCTGGGGTGGATGTTCTAGGACCATCTCTTCTCAGCCTGGGTCCTCCCTTTAAATCAGGAGACATGATACTTGTTCAGAGCTCTGCACACCCATGACCTAACACGTCAGTGCTCTCAGCAGTCGTGTGAGCTCTGTGTGGTGTCATTAGCACTTCACCTTACAGATGAGGAGACAAAGCCTTGATGGGGAAGTGGCTTACACCAGGTCAAACAGCTAGTTAGTGGTGGAGCTGGGACTCAAACCCAAGGGCTCTTTCTGTAGTCGCAGGTCACTTCCTCTCTTTTCAAAGCTTCCATTTTTGAAGAGCTACAAGGAAAAGGGTGGAGATGTGTCAGCAAGCAGAGAGGTTTAAATCATTAAAACCCTGGCGAGTGTAGTTAAATACACCATTAGTTGAAATATTTAAAGCAGTCAGAGGAGGCATTAATAAAATATCAAAATCAAAGGGCATAAAATGGATAACTAATAAGAACCTACTATATAAAAAAGTAAATTAAATTAAATTCAAAAAAAAAAATCAAAGGGCATGGAAGTAGAGCCATATCATGCCACCTATTAATCTGGGTGACGTATCTTAGGAAGAGGTTTGCCCTCTGCCCTGAAATCATCTTTCTGTCCAAAGGAAGGGCACAGAATCCCCAAAGTGAGTCTTAGACTCCTGGGCTCATAGCTTTTAAAGAGCCCTGTGGCCCATTTCAGTTTGTTATGGAGGAAACAGAAAATATCCTAGTCCACATTTTCTCTGCAGCCAGATGGCCAGCAGACAAGTAAGTTCCAGCAGCTCAGTGAAGGAAGTTGATGTTTGGCAGTGGCTGAAGTTCTGGTATCCCAACCAAGGCGGCAGCTACCCCACTGTTTCTGGGCCTGGGTGACAAGACCTGTCTTTCCTGTCTGAGAATATGCTGGATTACATGTCAAGTAGTACTTTTCTGCAAATCTGAAAGGAGCAATGACACAGAAGACAGGAATGACCCTAGTTCTATGAAGGCTTTTGTAACAGTCTTCAGGACACATAAGGCGACAGCCAGATGACAGTTAAACGGAAAGGGAGAGGTCTGAGAGTTGATGTTAGAAGCCTGTGAGTCATTGGTTGTTGTCCAGGTGCAGGTTCAGGCCCAGAGCCCAGGAAGACATGCAAGGAGGAAACGGGCGCAGGTGTGTTGTTTTTCAGTGGGGCCCAACTGGACACTTTGGGTGAACAGTGCACCATTTGGTGTGTCTGTCCTGGATTTGGCATCCCAGGACGTACCCACTACAGGCCAGTAGAGCCTCCAGTGATTGTGACAGATAACCAAAAACACCCACACACATTTCCATTGCCTTCTGTAGGCACTCCCCTGCCAGTCGAGAACCTCAGGCAGATTTGCCTATGTCCAGGGAGGTGGGGGGAATGGGAGAGCAAGTCTGGGAACCGTGATGATTTTTTATTGAAAATCCTCAAGGTTAGAAGTGAGTGGCAGACTCTTTCATGTAGGACAGCTCAGGCATAACAATATAAACTCTCTAGGTACCTGACTATTCTAAGATTCATTATAAAGTTTTTATTTAATTTTATCTTTTATTGAAGTATAGTGGATTTACAATGTTGTGCCAACAAAGTTTTCATTAGTAATCAAAATAATTTAAAATAATCTGCCGAGTGTGAATGTTCAATTCTATTTCTGTCTCTTCAAGTTCTCTTCTAGTTTTTGTCTCCATAAATATATACCATGGAGTACAATACAGAGGGTTTTTTTTGACCCAGTTATTACTCTTCACACCTTTTTTCTTTACTTGCAGGGCCCATGCACTTCATTTCTGGGGCTTCCAGAGTATTTCACTGGGTGAACAGTCCACAGCTCAACAGTTATTTTGGGAGTGAGGGAGGACTTTCAATAGATCAGAGTCTTGGGACTCTGAGTGAGACCCAAGCCACATGGGGAGATCTCTTGGCTTCCAGAGTAACAGTGTAGCTGGTCAGAAAGTACCTCTGGCTTCAGAAGACAGGTCTCCAATCAGAAGCTACAGTCATCATAATAAGACAAGCCATGCCTCAACCTGTGGTTCCACCGAATTTTCTCTGAATGAACTCATGATAAATATTGTTTGGTCACTGCATGTAATTCCTGTTATGTGTGGTTTTTTTTGCAGACATTTATGGTGTTGAACAAAAAGAGAACAATCTACCGCTTCAGTGCCAAACGTGCCTTGTTCATTTTTGGGCCTTTCAATTCAATCAGAAGTTTAGCCATTAGAATTTCAGTCCATTCATATCCTTTTGTTGCTTCTTTTACCAAGTCCAGGTCATGTGATGTGTGCAGAAGCCCTAGGGGTTCACATGTTTGTTGAGTGGAAATAGCTTATTCTTTTAACAAATACTGGGTGAGTGGCCCTGCTGTATGGCAGGGCTGTGTTGGGACTGGCACCTGTCTGGGATCCTGTGGCCTCAGAGGAGACAGGTCAAAAGGCAAGCAATTTCTTAGTGAGATGGGCAGTCTGGAAGTGGGAGTGTGGAGAGGCTCTGTTGTGCTTTGGAGGCATCAAGAACGGCCTCCTGAAGAAAGGAACATCTAAGTTGAGACCCAAATAAAGGGTAAACTGGCAACCTGTGCACTGTGTTTAGCTGATAAATGAGTTGTGCTAGAACTACAGTGTTTAAAGCTTTTTTAGAAACACTTTCTAGTGTTAAAAGTCCAGATTTTCAGGGGGTGAGGAGACACCAGGCAGTTTTAGATGGAGGGGGAGGGGGGTGTGAAAAAGACGTGGGTTGGTAGACGGAAGTACTCAGGAAAACGGGAAGGAATATCTATTTAAGTTGGGTTCCCTAGAAGCAGAGCCCGAGATGGGATTCTTATTTAAGTGATTTAGTGGGGGAGTGCTCTCTGGAAAAGGAAAAAGGGAAACAGCATGGAGCAAAAGGAGGAGCCAAGCAAGGACAGGGTCTCAGCTGAGCCCACATCAGGCATCAGCTGGAGCCACGGGGATCTCCAGAGCATGAATCTATCACAGAGCTGCCCCGTCTGAAAGCCAGAGGCCCGGTTTTTGTAAATCTCTCGGTCAGACATGTGGAAAGGGAGTGTAGCCCTCCAGGGTGAGGAGGCTGCCATTCAGGCTGAGGACAGTTCTTCAAGGGAGGGGACAGCTGTGGGTTGTTCTCAGCCAATGCTCACAGTTAGAGGACAGATGCTCCTGCAGAAAAGGGGCCCTGTAGGGACCCCCACAGCCTCAACTACAATAACTAATGACACATGCCATCCTGCAGTGTAGCTGCCTTAACGGCCCTGGTCACATTGTTCAGCATGTTCATCATCTGCACCGTCATCATCAACTGCGTGTTCATGGCCATGACTCGTGGGAAGGACAGCATTAACGTAGATACTGAGAGTGCTGAGTAAGTGTTTGTCCTGCACGCATTTGTCCTATGTTTTTAAGCAAATAAACCTAAAAGAATTATGATTACCTCAGATTTTAGCTATGGAGAGAAGAAAAAGTCACTCATAATCCCAGATCCCCAGCACAAATGCTGGCAGAGTCAGTTTCATTTTTGTATATGTACACTTACAATTGTCTTTAAAGGCCTTTTAAACTTACATTTGTAATAAACAGCACACATACAAATTTTATGTCTAGTTTTAAGTGCTCTTCTTTGTCCTTATGTAGGCTTAATAGGAGACCATTTTGATGCCTATACAATATTTCATCAGGTGACTATACCATAATTTACTTAACTACTCTCGTATTTTACTACTATAAATAGGATTGCAACAAGCATCTTTTGGTATAAAGCTACTTTAAAAAAATCATTATTTTCTTAGAATAGAGTCTTAGAAATGGGTTTACTAGCTAGACAACCATGGCCCTGACTGGACACCCTAACTATGGTTGAACTGACAGTGACACACCCCAGAGGGCCTGATTTGCCTGGTGAGTTGACGTCTTCCTATCATGGAGATCTCAAGCCCTGCTTCCATAGCAGATGTCATTTTGGTCCACATGTCCCACCACTGGCAGGCTTCTGCTGGAAAAGAGAGAATGGCAGGGTGGGAGGTGGAAGGCTAAATGGCTAGGCAGAAATAGCAGTCAGAGGTGGCTGTCTCATTTGCTTGAGATCTAGGTGAAGACTTGCAGAATCCCACACATCTGCAATTATAGCCTTTTTTCAAAATACCTATAATTTTATAAATTATATCTGAGTTTAAAAGATGGCATTTCAAGGCAGACGTTAATTAACCTTCTGTGTTTATTTGTCGCCTAAAAGATGAGCAGTTTAGAAAAAAGCTGAAGCAGAGGTAGCTCTTGCCCAAGGCAGCCTCATGACCATTTCTGCTCTTGGACTTATTAGCTGCTTTGGGATTCTTCGAGTTCCCAAGACCCTAGTTCTTTAGCTTTGAGGGCTAACAATGGTTGGACATTCTACCAGAAAAGGTCCATTTCTTTTACTCTGAACCAGCAGAGTGTTCGGAATCATTGTTTCTGTCCCAGATGTGGGACCAGCGTGTGTGTGTGTGTGTGTGTGTGTGTGTGTGTGTGTGTGTGTGTGCGTGTGCATGCCAACCAAGCATATTTTTATTGGGATTATAACAAGAGAGCTAGAGTATTTTCGCATGTGGATATTGTGCTTTCCCAACACCATTTGTTGAAAAGACTGTCCATGTTGGCTGAAGCTTCTCTCAAGAATATGGCTGTGAAGCTAGGTGTTTAAAAGCAGCTTTACAACTTTATCCATGGGCCTCTTTTTCAGAAATCCCAAATACCAGAACTTGCTTGAGGACCTTACCTTTCTGAACTCTTATTTGCTAAGACAAGAATGTTAAATGTCACATTAAAATGGAATCCGACCTCATGAAGGTCATATCAGACAAATGGGCTCTCTCTTTTTCGCATAGCTTATCATATTTCTTCTTGTTCTGAATGATTTGCTTTGTAGGTATGTCTTCACTGGGATTTATATATTTGAAGCATTAGTTAAAATATTGGCAAGAGGTTTTATTCTGGATGAGTTTTCTTTCCTTCGAGATCCATGGAACTGGCTGGACTCCATTGTCATTGCAACAGCGTAAGAATGTTAAGATTTTTACCAAAGAGACTAGGGGTGGGAAAGAAGCCCCTTGGCTTCCAGCAGGGCCCTGTGTAGATCCACATGACTGGCTGAGTGCAGCCAAGTAAAGCCTAGAACTGTGAGTGCAGTGTTGGTTGACACTGAACTGCACCACGTAGCCAACTGACCAGAGGCCTTCATACACACAAATCCATTTCTGGCCGCACCGCGAGGCTTGTGGGATCTTACTTCCCCAACCAGATATTGAAGCCAGCCTCATGGCCATGAAAGCACCAAGTGCTAACCACTGGACTGCCAGGGAATTCCTCACAAATCCATTTCTAGGCCAACACTCATGATCTTACTTTTTCAGCCATTTATTCACCAAACACTGACCTGTTATGGGGCCAGGCTCTGTGCCAGATATAGGGCTTGTGATAATGAAAAAAAATACATCATGTGTGGATATCACCCTGTTGGAGCTCGCAGGTCAGAGGGGAAGTGAGGCATTTAATGACCATTATAACCTGCTACAGTGAGTGCTAGCATAGGAGCTGTGCATGATTCCAGCTGTTAGAGCATGGAGGAGGAATAAAGGGGTCTAGATCATCTTTGTCTACTGAACGGTCACAAAGAGTTTCTCTCATGTTTTCTCCTAGAAGTGTTATTGTTTTGGCTCTTATGTTTAATTAAGTTTGTGGTCCATTTTGAGTTAGTTATTGTATATGGCATGAGGTTAGAGTTGAAGTTCTTCCTGAAGGAGAGGGCATCAATTTGGCATCTGAATGATGATTCCAAATTCATGAGTCAGCAAAATGAAAAGCAAGAGGAGCAATGGCCCATTGCCAGCACAATAATAATAAACCCAACCTTATTTAATTTGTGCCAGCCATTGTCTTAAGCACTTTGCATATATTTTTCTGTTTAATATTCATGAAAGCCCTTTGAGGTAGTTACTATCAATTTCAGAGTTTTACATTTGAAGGTCAATGGTCAGGTGCTCCTGGTTATTGAGAGATGGTGTAGTATGTGGGCTCTGGAGCCAGACCGCCTAGGTTCCTTCTGGGCTTGGCCACCTGGTGAGACCTTATGGAAGTGTACTGGGGCCTGGAACTTGATAGCAAGTCAATAAATGTTTAAGTTGATTTCTGTTATCCATGGATGTAGCCACAACTGCAGTGACTATTTCAAGGAATCCTCATCTATGTCCAAGTGTAAAGATTAGCTGAGAGCAGCCTCCTGTGCAATCTGTGGTCCATGGGGTCCATAGCAATAGAGCACTAGTGGTATTGCCAGGTCCTGACATAAGGTGGGATTGGAAGGGGAGGTGGCAGATTTCATTCTGGTGGACACACACCTCAGGCTGTGCTTACTTGTGACCTTTGTGGAGATGTGCAGGGCAGACGCATGCCTGAACAAGCCTGGACTTTCCTTGTGCTTTGTCTTGTAGGTTTGTGTCATATTCACCATATATCAAGGACAGCAGCATCAGTCTGTCATCCCTGCGTACCTTTCGAGTGTTCAGAGCTTTGAAAGCAATTTCAGTAATTTCAGGTAAGTCACTCTAACTTTCAACACTGGCTCTTAGCGGAAGAGAATAGTTAAAATTTCTCAATATGTCATGTAAACCACAAACTAACAAACTCGTCTTTATTCATTTATTTGATCATTCAACGAATATGTATTGAGGACCTAATATCCACTATGCTAGCTGCTTGGGATATATCAATGAGCAAACAGACAAAGGTCCCTGCCCTCATGGAGTTTACATTCTAGGTGGGGGGTTGGGAGACAGACTTAAGCAGTAACTATAATAAATAAGTAAATTATATAGCATGCTGGAAAGTGACATATGCCATGGAAAAATAAAATGGAAAAGTAGGCGATGTGGTGGCTCTTGGAAGTCACGGGGGTTCATGGAAGCAGGTTGCAATTTTAGTGGGGTGGTTAGGATAGGTGTCATTGAGAAGGTGAGATGTGAGCAGATTTGAAGGTGGTGAGGGAGTTTCACAAGCAGATATATGGGAAAGA